TAAATTGTAAATCATCAGCTAAAGTGTATACAATAAGTTTATGTGTTAGAAGTTGTGATCAGTTAAAGTGTAAAACATCAGCTAAAGTGTAAAAATAAACTAATCTGTAAGCAGTCGTGATCAGTTAATTTACGTCCTCAGTAGTGTGACATATAGACACTACATTTGTGTCCTAAGTAGTATGACATATAGACACTGCATTTGCGACCTCAGTAATATGACATGTAGAGACTACATTTGCGTCCTCAGTAGTTTGACATATAGACACTACATTTACGTCCTCATTTACGTCCTCAGTAGTATGACATATAGACACTACATCTGCGTCCTCAGTAGTATGACATATACACACATCTGTGTCCTCAGTAGTATGAGATATAGACACTAAATTTGCGTCCTCAGTAATATGACCTATAGACACTACATTTGTGTCCTCAGTAGTATGACATATAGACACTACATTTGTGTCCTTAGTAGTATGACATATAGACACTACATTTGCGTCCTCAGTAGTTTGACATATAGACTCTATATTTGTGTCCTCAGTAGTATGACATATAGACACTACATTTGCGTCCTCAGTAGTTTGACATATAGACACTACATTTGTGTCCTCAATAGTGTGACATATAGACACTACATTTACGTCCTCAGTAGTATGACATATAGACACTACATTTGCGTCCTCAGTAATATGACCTATAGACACTACATTTGTGTCCTCAGTAGTATGACATATAGACACTACATTTGTGTCCTCAGTAGTATGACATATAGACACTACATTTGTGTCCTCAGTAGTATGACATATTGACACTACATTTACGTCCTCTGTAGTATGACATATAGAGACTAAATTTTCATCCTCAGTAGTGTGACATATAGACACTACATTTGCGTCCTCAGTAGTATGACATATAGACACTACATTTGTGTCCTCAGTAGTGTGACATATAGACACTACATTTGTGTCCTTAGTAGTATGACATATAGACACTACATTTGCGTCCTCAGTAGTTTGACATATAGACACTACATTTGTGTCCTCAGTAGTATGACATATTGACACTACATCTGTGTCCTCAGTAGTATGACATATTGACACTACATTTACGTCCTCAGTAGTATGACATATAGAGACTAAATTTTCATCCTCAGTAGTGTGATATATAGACACTACATTTGCGTCCTCAGTAGTATGACATATAGACACTACATTTGTGTCCTCAGTAGTATGACATATAGACACTACATCTGTGTCCTCAGTAGTATGACATATAGACACATTTGCGTCCTCAGTAGTATGACATATAGACACTACATTTGTGTCCTCAGTAGTATGACATATAGACACATTTGCGTCCTCAGTAGTATGACATATAGACACTTCATTTACGTCCTCATTTACGTCCTCAGTAGTATGATATATATACACTACATTTACTCCTCAGTAGTTTGACATATAGACAGTACATTTGCGTCCTCAGTAGTATGACATACTGTATATACAAGTAACATTTGCGTTCTCAGTAGTTTAAGCATTAGGATACCTGAAGCATAATCAGGAACAGTGCCCCGAAATTTCAAACTATATCTTTGCTGAGAATGAACTTCTATATTATGGACTAAACATAGATGTACATTTCCTATTTCTGTGACCTTGACTTTTGATCAGTTCCATCTGAAAAGTCCATGTTGTTTGGAAGGTTAAAGTTACAGAGATCGAGACAAAGAGACAGGGATTCTATCCAGAACATCTACCACAACCCAAAACAAGGAGAATTTGCCAAAGATTGAAATAATACCAACCTCAAAACTTTTAATTGGTCATTAATTCCTTGGAGTTGGCAATTTATATATAAAAAAAACAACAAATATACAAATAAAGAATTAAGGGGACAAATTAAGAAATAAGATGTTCTGTGATTTTAAGTCAAGTATTGGTGCTTTGTTAGGAAAATACAATTACGTACATATAATATACTTTTTTCACACAAGAAATTAAATAAGTAGCATACATATAGTTCTCAAATGGATAATCTATACGGTGGTCCTTGGACTGATTTGTCAAAATGAAGTCTTATTCATGGCAATTGATTTGATTATTTTATCAAATTCATAACGTCATACAGGGTGAATTATCCATAGGAAAACGGAAGATTGTAAACTGTTTAACTCCGGGCTGATTACTTTATTGACAAATATCATTGTATAAAGCGGGGACGGGTGACAGCTAATAAAACTGACACATCTCCTGAGAACTGGACCTGATTGTGTTTTTTGTTGTTAGTAATAGATTCACTTATACCAGTAACAATATATTTCTTCTTTTTTCAGAGATCTGTTGTACATAAATCCGATTTACTGGGCAAAAGGCCGAGGCGATCTGATGAACTCATTGGTAAGCACGTCCGATTTCTATCGCAAAGCATTTTAAAAGATCACATATATCTACAAGTATTGATGAACTTTTTGTATTTAACAGTCCAAACTAATATAGGATGAAAAAGCTAATCTGCAGTACATTTTTATCAAGTCAGTTAAATCCATTTATTAAGGAAAGATAAGGCACAATTTTAATGCATTTTTAAAAAGTTTTGTTTTTGTTTTTGTTTGTTTGTTTGTTTGTTTTTGTTGATAATCCATAATTGGACTGAAAAGCAAAAATATCTATTCGTATAGTTATAAATTTTAATTTAGAGATCTTTGCATATCTTGAATGCGAATTCCTTAAGTTACAGTGGATATATATATATTATTATAACAGTAACTTGATCCGAAGAGTCGTATCACGTCAAGTTAACAGGCGCGGATCATCAGATCAAACGAGACGCGAAGCGTCGAGTTTGATCTGATGATCCGCGCCTGTCAACGAGACGTGATACGACTCTTCGGATCAAGTTACTGTTATAATGATAAATTTATTATATACCCCTTTCCAACTAGCAAAATATAATAAAAGGAAACTTTCTGGATCAATTACATAACTTTTATTCATTAAACAATCCATTTTGTCAAGGAACTTTTTGATACGCGAGAATAAAAACGCCATTTATCTGTGTACTACGTCATCAGTTTCAGAGAGGGGTGATATGGATTCAGAAAACCACAGTGTGGTGATCCGGAACGTCGGATCACACCGTCACATGATTGCATAAATTCAACAGTAAAACTGAGTGACAAACAGTTGGGTATATAATAAATAACTAGATGGTTTGGTTCATACATTAGGTTATGATACCGTCCTTATATTAATCCTGTAATCCGTTAAGCATTTTTTAAAGCAGGGAGTCTTGTCTGATTTCTGACTTAAGGATACACAAACAAAAATTTGATGCCTGGATTAATATATATTTTTTGACTGATTTTGAATAGAAATGACATAAATAATAAATCCCTAAAATATAAAGAAATCGTAAGTTTTCTTTTCTGCTTAATTATGCGACTTTGTTTTGTTTCCTATATAATTCTATACAAAATTTTGCATATATTTTTAACATTGCGGCAAAATCTTACAAAATTCTGCCACTTTACCTGGTAAATATTATTCAGGTTACTTATTTGAATATAAATCTATGAGAAATTTTGCTGATTTCTGAAAAAAAGTTTGTGCTATTTATCCTTAATGAAATACTCAAAGTATATATGCTTACATGTCTTTTATATTTAGATGTTAAGGGTTTTAAAGATCATATTTTTCTTTCTTTTTCGTAATTGTACAATTTGAAATAGTAATGGTAAACTGACTTTAAAATTTAGCGGGGACAATATTTTTGGCGGAATGGCGGCGTATGAAAATATCTCCTTTTCTGCTTCTCAAAATTACTACAGAACAATGAATTTAAAAGGCCTTTTTAAACAATCAAAGGCTTAGGGAAATTTTTGTAGTGGCTGAAATTAATAATAATGGACTAAAGTTTTAAAATATAGCAATTAAAAATGATTTTATAGACAAATGGCAAACTTATAGCCTTTGAAAGCTAAGGATTCTAAGAACAGACTTGAGTAAAAATTCAGTAAAAAATGTATTTCTCTCTTATTAAACGGTCAAAACTTCTGGTTTATGTATCATTTTGTACCTTTACATGACTACTTTACCATATGTAAAAATAATAAAATTTAAAATATACAAAACATATTAAAACAACTAATATTCCCTAAAAAATTAAGAAAAATAGAGGAAATTGGGGTTACCCAATATCTATTTAGTTTAACTGTTTATCTCAATTTGATATTATCATTTGGTAGACCTTTTGTTGTATCAACTTTTTATGTAAAATGAAAAATATTAAATCTTTTAAAATAATAAGAAGAATTACATGATTGACAACAATATTTTTTTATTCTTGATGACACGGAAAAGATAATGACCTTGACATGACCGTGACCTTTTAATTAAACGGTCAAATATAACGTAATATATGTCATCACTTAGTGATATTGTCTTCTTCAATCTGTGAAAATTTCGTTAATTTTTTAATATGATAAACACGGGAAGAATCCCTCCTTAAAAGAGGCTAATTGAGCTTGATATTATTCTTTGTTGTTGTCTTTTTGTTCATTTGCTTGTTGTTTTCTTTTTTCTTTTCTTTTTTTCTTCTTTTTTTCTCAATTGTTTTTAAAATTTAAAATTTCTTTTGGCATGTATATTTGTTTTTGGTTTTTAATTTTATTTTCTTCTTCCACCCTTTTTTTTCACGGAAAGTTTGAAGGGATATTCTTATTAATTACGAGGTATTTTTTTTAATCAAAATAAATATCATCGTTGATAAATGGGTTTTGTTTGTCAAACACTTTAAAGCACTTTTTGTTACAGATTTTGCACTATTTACTTTGAAATGCAGTGAATGATCGAAACGCATAATAATTAATAGAACGTTGAACCCTGAATGAAGGCTGCTTTTTGAATATAATGTTATAGTGTTAAAAAAAAATCAATTTAAATCAGAAGTTGGTTGATGAGAGTCAAATAATTTTGACTTTTCCCAGACTGTATATCAATGGCCTCGACAGAGGGAGAGTTCACATACAGGTCCGACGGTTCTCCCAGTGTGTGCGGAATCTACTTTATTTCACCTCCAGAAAATCTTGTAGAGATAGAATTCACCAGCTTCAATATCGACTGTAAATCCGGACTAGCAGTGGTATGACTTTCAAATAAAGTCTGACATACATACACAAGTATAGTTTACTGAATGCAGTTAGATTGAATTGAGATCTTTTAAATGTCAAAATACTGGGTTTCTTTTTACCTGTACCAGAGGCTCGAGTTCTGCTAGCCACGTAGCATCATTTTACAGAATTGGGAGGCCAGCCAGAAAAATAATTGACGTGACAAGCAACAAATAATAAATTGTTACATGTAAAGAATAAATAAACCAAAACTAAGTAAATGAATAAAAAAAAACTTTGATTAGCAAACAAGAAAAAAAAGAGTGTCTATTAAAATTTAACAGCGAAATATACTTCTAAAAAAGTATTGGGGTGGGGGGGGGTGAAGGGAACAAGACTTGAATGATGACTAGAAATATTCGCGAATTTTATAGAACAAATTCTAACTGGGAATAGTCAGAAGAGGCTTGTACATGTAACTTGTAAAACACCAAATCCCTAATTTGCCTCTTATAAATTCCATTGGTAATGCTGTATTTACGTTGAAAATCTCCCTCGAAGTGAGAACCCCTGTTTGTTTATTTTGTTACTTACCTTTAGTATTTATATATTCCACAGAGGGCCGACTCTAAACCTTAACAAAAACGAAAAATGGTGTCAGATATCGGAATATAGGTAAGGTAGGCTAGGAATTCATGTATTTTTGATAAGTTTTTGTGTCTATAATAAAAATTCTCAGAAAGCGGGGAGGGGGGGGGGGGTACACCAACCCGTCAGGTGCCTTCGTTTCGGGTGTATAGATTGGGTAGCAACAAGAGTTTTAAAGCTTTACCTTGGAACATATATATATTTTCTGAAATCTTCATGCAAAACAAAGGTATCTTTCTACAACTTCATGTAAAGTAGGTTAAGATTGTTCTCGACATTTCTCCAAAGGTGGATGGGGCTAACATAGGCGTGTTTTAAAGGGGGAGATCTGGATTCTAGGTCATCTACAAGGAGAGAGAGAATCCTTCGGAGAAGTATTACACCCCCCTGTCAGTGCCTGCAGGTTGTAGAGCAGTGAAACATTGATAAACCTTAATTAAAATTATAGCTTAATGAATATGGCACCACGATTACTAGTACTTTAAAAATATGGTATGGTGTGCATTAAAGCCACGAGATTCACAAATGATTTGTAGAAAACTGCTTAAACTATTTTATGAAAAAACTGAACTTAGCTCTTCTTAAGCTAATAGTTACATTGTAATACTTAACATCTATAAATTCTAGATAATGCCATCAAAAAGAATTCCATATTTAATTTTAGAAATAGAAACTGTGACTCATTTAAGCATAGAATCTCTTGAGCCTCTGTTTATTGTATTTATTAATTTTTTTTTTTAATTATTAAAATTGTTGAAAATCTCCAGATAAAAGATTACTTTTAATCTATTTTTATTAAGGTCATAATAGAAAGACCTGAAAACATTAAATTTTGAATATTTTTGTAGGTTGTGGATGGCTGGGAAATGAACCAGCAGTTTTTCCCTTCCCCAGAGGATCACCCTAAAAGTATAGAGGACCGACTAAAGAATCTGTGTGGCCGGAGTCCCTCCAAGACCTTTGTGTCATCACAGAACGTGGCATTGATTCAGCACCTTATTGCTATTCCTGGCGAAGGTTTCACTGTGAGAGTGCGGTTTCTAAAAAATCCACAGCGTAAGTTAAGAAAAAATCCTCAGTGTAAGTAACCAAAAAAATCCTCAGTGTAAGTAACCAAAAAAATCCTCAGTGTAAGTAAACAAAAACAAATATCAAAATAAAACCAATTAAGAAATAAACAGCATAATTATAGAAAAAGAAATCCCCAGTGTAAGTAAACAAAAAAAAAAATCCACAGCGTAAAAAAAAAATTAAAAAAAAAAAAAAAGAAAAAAAAAAGAAAAAAAAAAGAGGCCCAAGGGCCTTAACGGTCACCTGAGTATAATACAACAATTTTGAGGATCCATAGAGTATAAAATGAATTGAAAGGTTAAGTTTTGTTGCCCAAATGCAAGAAAAATAGGGTGATCAGGATCAACAAATAATTAGTCTAGTATTCATTAACAGTTTGTAACTTAGGTTCTAATCTGTTCCCCGTTTAGTCACTATCACCATACAGTATATTAACAAACTAATCAGTGCTTCTACAGGTACTATTTTAATGTCCTTGTTGAAATCTCTTACACTGGCCTATCTTGGTCTTTGATGAACATTTAAAAAGACAAGTTATTTTTGTCTCATTTTTATTTATCTATTACTTACAAGTCTACCTGAACATTAAAACTATGAAAGTACTTTTTGTATTATACAATAAAAATTCTTGCAAAATTCTCTTATTCTATTAACCTTTCAAGTACATTATTTACAGTGATTAATTATCAAAAGTAAATGGCAAAGGGGAATAACTCCTCTCAGTAGAATACAAATGAATAGAGCCCTGGCCAGGACCAGAACACTTGACCAAATGGTCCAGATGTTCAAAAATCTGGTAAAAATATTCTTCCTTATTAAAACATTTACTCTTTTTGCCTCTGATATGCCCAGGTGCAGAGAAGATTTTTAAAGAAATAATGCATTTTTACTACAGATTCACTATATTATCAATAGAGCCCCCCCCCCTTCCCAAGTGAGAAACACCAGAGCCTCTCACCCTGGGACCAGAAGTTTGCTCATCATAAGTAATCACTTTGTTTATCTGCTTATCACTAAGAACAGACAGGATTATTTAATAGAATTAATGCATTTTCACTATATTATCAAGAGCCCCACCCTTACACCAGCACATCTGACCCAGGGGTCATCCAATTCACTACTCTGGAAGAAACACTCTTGCTCATCATAACTATACACTTAGCTTCTTTGCTTTTTAACCAGGAGCAGAAAAGAATGTTTTCAAAGAAATTTTGCTTTTTCACTATATAATCAATAGACCCCCCCTCTCCTTTCACCAGAACCCTTGGCCCTGGGGTCATGAAATTCACAATTTTGGAAGAGGCATCCTTGCTTATCACAACTATGTATTTAATTTGTTTAAATAATACCCAGGAGTAGAGAAGAAGATTTTCAAAGAAATAATGCACTTTCACTATATGATCTATATAGCCCCGCCCTAGCACCAAAACCCCTGACCCTGGGGCTATGAATTTCACAATTTTGATAGAGTCACCCTTGCTTATCATAACTATGTATTCAATTTGTTTCAATAATACCCAGGAGTAGAGAAGAAGATTTTCAAAGAAATAATGCACTTTTACTATATGATCTATATAGCCCCGCCCTAGCACCAGAACCCCTGACCCTGGGGCCATGAATTTCACAATTTTGGTAGAGGGCTCAATGCTTATTACAATCATGCCAACACTTTGACTGCTTGATGTCCAGGAGTAGAGAAGAAGATTTTTAAAGATAGCACTAATTTTGATGGTTTTAGCCCCACCCCTCAGGCCCCAGGGGGGCAGGGACCATGAAATTCACAATTTTTGTACCCCTTTACCCATTGATGCTATATGCCAAAATTGGTTGAAATTGGTTCAGTGGTTCAAGAGAAGAAGCTGAAAATGTTCAAAAGTTTACGACCGACAGACGACGGACGACGCACGACGGACGACGACGGACGAAAACAGATAGCAATAGGTCACCTGAGTGACTCAGGTTACCTAAAAAAAAAAAACTCCACAGTGTAAGTAAACAAACAAACAAAAAATCCACAGTGTAAGTAAACAAAAAAAACAATAAAAAAAAAAAACCCAAGAAAACCACAGTGTAAGTAAACAAAAAAAAAAAATTACTTTTACTAGAAGTTTTTGACAAACCATCACCATTATAGCCATAAGTATTTTCCTGCTGTATTTGCGCATTCTCTTTCAGTAAAAATAGCTCACGAGGCTTTGCATCAGATTAGCTAAAAGAGTAAAGATTAACATACAATTAAAGCACTGATGTTGAGGATAAATAAAAATAAATGAGGGGGCACAACCATACATTTTCAATTGTGTCAACTACCAAAATTCCTTGACAAGCAAAAAAAAACAAAAAACAAAAAAAAAAAAAACACCTAGAATTTTACCTTCATGTTTGTCGCAGTATAGGCATTTGGTTCGCCTTGTTCGACCATCTTCTTTTCTAAAGATTTACATAGAAAACGGCACAAAGTTGCATATTTTAGCACCGAAAAAGCTTACGATTTTTCTTTATTTTAGGGATTTATTATTTATGTAATTTCTATTCAAATTCAGTCAAAAAATATACATCAATTCATGCATCAGAGTTTTTTTTGTTTGTGTTATGTATCCTTAAGAAAAAGGGAGCGCCGCTGTGTGTAACTTGATCTGATGTGTTATAATCCGGAGGTAAAGAGCCGCTATATGTGTTAGTATTTAGTATTATATAATCAGTACTCTCAGGTTATGAGGGGTTTTTTGCTGGAGACAGAGACCTGATGACGTTGTATATCGTAGCTATCGCGTATCACTTGTATTGATTGTATCCATTTTTAAATGGAGGAAGGCTATCCCCACACCTCTTTAAGTATACAAATATAAGTCAAAGTGACGGAAGCAGGTGTGATGTGAAATTTGACGCCTATCGATTGTTTATCATTGACTAAACCCTTTTTAGACCGTAACACTTCAAAATAGGTAATTGTAGAAGCCGTTCTTTGAGAACGCATTAATTCTCCCTTTGAATTCTTACACAAGCACATGTATATATGTTTCAACAATTATATATATATCTTCGGAATATGAAAAAGGTGAAGATAACGAACAGTGATCGATCTGTAAAAAAATCTATAAACAATACAACTCTGTGAAGAGGGCATGAAACACGGACCTCTGGAAATTCCAGAGCTGGGATTACTTGACTAGAAATGTTCAAATCCGGCAATGCTTAAACTTGATAACGTCCCCCCCCCCCTCAATTCGCAAAATACCGGTAGCCCAGAAGGTTATAAAATTTCCACCAAAAAGCTAGGGGAGAATTAAGCGCAAGGCGTACCCGATTACACTTGCAGATGAACCCAGTGAAAGATATTAGCTGCAGGATTTCTAACGATTTTGCAAATATTTTCACCAAATGTTGACCAGACAAAATTGTACAGGTGTAGCATATGGCTAAAATGAAAAATTAAGATGACGTCAGTTTTGGCGTGTTGAAACTGAGTCCTGTCAGTATGATTTCAGATAACATAAAAATGTCAAACAAGAGGTCCATTGGTCTCATCGCTCACCTGAGCACTTTGGCTAGGAAAAGCAGAAATCGGTTCAGTATTGAAAAGTTTAAAATATTAAAAAGTGGTTCCGGGGAGGGGGGGGGGTTCTTATTTGAACCCTCTAACATACAGATAAAACAATGAGCAAAGACAAAACAAAGACATGTGTTGTTACCTACTTTGTCAGCTGGGACCAGTATATACTTATCGAGTAATCTATCTATTTTTTCACTTCTGAATATTGAAGACAGAAGGATATATGATTTTCATCAGCTTTGTATAACTTTGAACATTATTTTTCAGCCTGTAACGTCATCAGCATGTTTAAGAGAGGACTATACACAGTGAAGAATTATGGCGCCAAGAGGAACTGCTCCGTCTCCATCATTTATCCTGAGCGGGTTCGTCTTCTGTCGGTAGATGTCGGCGTGACTGGTCACTTCCAGAAAGTGGAAGCCGAATACGGAATCAAATCAAATGTAAAGAAACACAGATTTATCCTTTTTTCATCGACAAATCAGAAACTGAAGTTATTCAAGAGAACGTAAACGAATCGTTTTGAACAAATTAAAACATAAGTTGTAAATATGTAAATAATGAAATACCAGTACCTTAATTTGAAGAAGTGAAGACATACATTTCATGTATGTGTGTGTAGGGGAAGGGGATCTAGAAAAAAAAACTCACAAAATATTCTCCTCTCCCAGTAAAAAGTTGGACAAGATTTTAAAGGGGGTCTATTTTAAAATTTTTATGTAAATTTGATAGTAGCAATGAAAAGTTTGGAGGGATGTTGGAATTTCTCTGGCTTGACCTTGACTCACAAAAACTTAAGTGTCCTATTGTGATATATTGTGAGTTTTATTTCAGTTTTAAAAATCAAGAAATGTGCGCCTAAGTCATACATAGGTCTGAGTCAAAGCATGTATTATCAAAATGCTCGCAGTAACATATTTTTGGATTAAAGTAATGTTTGTTTGTTGTTTAACGTCCCTCTCCAGAATTTTTCACTCATATGGAGACGCCACGACTTGCCTGTTGAGAGCTGCAAATTTTGACCTATACTCGGCACTTAGGGCCATTGAGCAGTGAGGGATCTTTTTCATGCCAGCACCTACTGCGACACGGGACCTCGGTTTTTACGGTCTCATCCGAAGGACTGGCCTCCACGTCCCACAGTGGGATTCGAACCCGAGACGTAAGGATTAACTCCTTACTCCGCGACTCTAGAGTAAACGCTCTAACCACTGCGCCACACGGGCGACGGATTAAAGTAATGTAAATGGATTCTAAATCATATTCAAGAGCTAAATAAACACTACATGAGGAACGGTACATAACAAGATAATAGAGTAACCACCGCATCTAAGTAAAAGAGTGTTCCTATATTTTCAGTGTCACCGCTATCTTGGAACAGACGATTATGTAGAGCTGGCTGGTGGGAATGGCTTTGAGATAGGATTCATGAATGTTCGCGAGCGTTTTTGCGGCTTGGAATCAAACGTTGGTAAGGAATTCATTCTGAGGACAGTATTTTTTTTGCCTCAGGTACCTACACAAACTTAACAAGAATTGATTGATTTTTAATAAAAATCAATCATTTCTTGTTAAGTTTGTGTAGGTAATTTTTTATGTAGTTTTACGTCCCGTTCGAGAAGTTTTCACTCATCTAGAGACGTCATCATATACAGATGAAGGGTTTCAAATTTAGACCTTTTCTTGGCACTTAGGGCCATTGAGCAGTGAGGGTTCTTTATTATGCCAACGCCTACCGTGACACGGGACCTCGGTTTTTAAGGTCTCTTCCGAAGAACCCGCAACTTTCACTTCAAAGTGCCGAGCGTTTGGCGAAAGAACAGTTGCTTCTTATTTTTTATCGACTAAGGTCGGTCGCGGCCGTGATTTGAACACACGACCTTCCGATCACGGAGCGCACGCTCTACCAAACAACTAGTCCGAAATATCTGACGTTTTCCTGGCTTTTTTACGATTTTGATATTTTACGTGCCAGGAAAACCAGGTTTTCTGGCACGTAAAATATCAAAATCGTGAAAAAAGCCTGGAAAACGTCAAATAATTTCGGACTACCAAACAACAAGAATTGAAAACAAGATTTTACATAGTTTTATGAAAGAAAAATAATAACATGCTGAAATATTTAAAATGTTTATATCTGAATAAGTTACATGCATATAAGGTGAGTGGAACTACATGTTAGTATTGTATTATCGATACATTGATGGAAAAGCTGTAGTGACCTTGACACTAAAAAACTTTCAAGAAATCTCTCATAAAAAGGTCTTCGAAAAACGGGATTTAAAACGAAATCTTGTTAGTACTCAACTAAATTCCGTGAACATTTACCAAAACCATTGGGTAAGTTACTGGTATACAGCATGCATGGTAAAATACAAAAGCCAGTTACATTTACAGCTCCTTGATTTACATGTTGCGGTGTATGTATTTTCTATGAAAAGGGAGCTTAAAGGATTTTGTGAATAATAAAATCATTGCTAGTGACCATGTTAAAGTATTTTCAAAGATGGCTGAACACAGCGAAAAATGGGAGACTGTATTTCTCTACAGTCTGTTAACTGTCATTTTTTTCTATTTTTTTTTTTAAAAAGCAGAAACTTGGCGACTTGGTCAAGCCTATTTGGAGGGTGGCTGTGGGATAAGATATTACGTAGACGTGGCCTGGTGTGTGTATTTATCATATTATAGATGATCTTACTTTATCAGGATCTCAGATGATCTCTGCATACCGTTTATCATATACCTCAGAAGTCATTTTACCATGATCTCGAATGCCTGATATGTAGCTATCATGATCACAAAATGACCCAGCATGTAAAATTTTAGCGGATGTAAGCTTACTAAATGTAATAATCTAACAGGCATTTTAATTTTTTTTAGGGGAGCAGGAAGTTGTTATTGGTTGTCAGCATTCCTCAGTGAGGCTAGTCTCCAGTGGACAGTTCTTTAACTCTGTTACATTCTTGTACTCAAATTTAACAGAAGACGAAATAGGCCGAGAGGACCCCAATAAGTGTATTGCATAGTTCCTACTGCTATATATAGGTAAAACTGAAAACTGTTCTTCAATCTAAAGTGTGCATTAACTTGGAATGTAAAATCTTAAAAAGAACAAGGTCGAACGAACTCCACTTAGACCCACTAATCTGATTCATTAAAATTAAGAAAATTATTCAAATCGGTATTCATGTTTTAACCCCTGTCCATAATTTTTTCCTTCGAATATGAGTATACCAGTCACATCATTACTAGATTTTCTAATACGAAATTACCATTGGAAATTGTGAACAGAGTTAAATTTGTTTCTGTCTTTAGCTGGGGTTTGTCGGGTCATAAACCTATACATATACAATATTTTTGAAGTTGTCTATTTTTTCAGTGCCATTTGTGTTCAGGATGGAACCAGGATCCCATTATTCCGTGCCAGACTGGAGTAGCTCAATGTAGTTGTCAAGACTATTTGTCTATGTTTTGTATTTATATTAATTATACCGGATTCAAGTGAATTATCGACAATATTTATTTATTTTGAAAAGGTAAAATAAAGAATTAACTGAACTTGTTTCGTCGTAAACTTTTATTTTAACGACATTCTGGTCAACCTCATAAATCCATTAATGGTATAGTGTGTCGTATATACATAACAGGAGACGAAAGGAAACAAATAATTGTCAAATGTCATATGAAAAAAAAAACCCACTTAGTACTGAATCAATTATAGATCAACTTTAAATAAATCAGACCAGGTTCATTTTCCAGTGAACTAACTGCATATTGCCAATTAGATACTGTATACATGCTCACTCCCTATTCTTAATAATAATAATAATAATAATAATAACTAGATGCGATCTCGTTGCGAGCAACGAGTGGGTCTTCCGTCCGATTTTTGATAAGATGAGATAAGAATTTGACTGAGACTTTCGTTCAAATATAATGATATAACACCTATTCTCACATAATCCGTCCATATGCGCTATTTGGATGTCGCAAGCAATTTAAATTACATTATTATTAAAATAATTGGTAAATTTTGTAGTGTTTTCGTTTGTGATACGTCTAGTTACAAAACCAACATCGTTAAGTGTTAATACACAGGTAAAAACTTCCCTGGGATCCAAGTATATTGTCTAATAAATGGCTTCTCGATCTGTCGCTTAGGCAAAAGGCAAAGTTTGGACCAATGAATAAAACAAAACAATTACATTTTATGCTAAAAAGCACGACTTTTACATATAACAATGCATGAATATATTGATTTTTAACACTTTTAGATATTTGTCTACAGTGAAATTTTTAAAAAATATATAATAACTTTGTCGCTAAATTTCTGTAATTTACGTTATCAAAATCTTAGTATTTGTGTAAACAGCATAAAAGGGTATCTAAAAACATAAAATATCTACTAGATTATCCAACAAAGTCCATAAAATGCAATCAAAAACAAAGAAAAGTTATATGACAGAATACTTACAGAAACACATTGGTCTTTTAACCAGAGGTGAGTGGTTCGTTTTAAGGATGTATTTTACGTTATCAACGATACTTAAAGAATACAAGTAAAATGTGTCTTTGCATATTAATTTATTTCTTCTTCCTGACCTACCAAACACGTAAAATATTAAAACGAACATTGATCTGTGCGACTACACATTTTACACCAATTAATCTGATAGAAAGTAATTTACGTTATGTAATTTACGTTATCCGTATAATACATATATGGTACCTATCTTGCAAATAATACGTCGGGACAATACGGAACCATGCAGGAAACGTTATTGGTTTCTTCTCGAAAGCATCTTAACATCCCCGAACTTCCGATGTAGATCTGATGCAGGAAGCGCCATCAGATAACGTAAATTACGTGTTACCTTTAAAAACTTTCAAATAATTCCTCAAAGATGTATTTTTGGCGTGAATTTCAGTTGATTTTACAAACAAGGTGTACTTCTATTTATTTGTAGCAATATTTTACGCATAAATCTCTCTTCATTGATTACTTGATGAAGCAAAACATTCATAACGTAAATTACAGTAAAAATAACATAAATTAAATACAATTTAATTGCCTTTCTCCGTAATTATATTTCATAGATTTCATTTAACAGAGATTGTAAAGTCAAAAGCAGAAATTAAAAAAGCATATGGGGAATAAAAGAAGAAAAAATAGGGAGAGGCATAACTAGAGAAAGATAGGAAAAAATACATACCAACAGCAGATCTTACATTGTCATTATATTTAACTGTGAATCTCTCAAAAGGATGAAAAATAATCAGTGTTTGTGGCATTTTGTGGGCAATTGAAAATACTGCATGTCATTAGATGGATGAAAATAAGTTCAAGAAAATATTAATTTTTGGTTTGAATACCAGTAAAATTGTAATTTACGTTATCAATATATTTCTTTAAGAAAAACCAATTTAAAATTTTCACAGTCTCTTCCCAAATTAAATTTTAAAATCCTCTTCTCTTATGATTCATAAACATAAAATTAAGTCGCACAGGAATTCAGCTTAAACATTTCTAGTAAGAAGGAACAGAATTATTTCAGTTGAAAAATAAGATTAAAGCAAATAAAATTTGTTAATTACAAATTAAGAGAAAAACACTGGCAAAAAACAAAATTTTCGAAGTATTTTTATTTGTACAGACATAGTGCTAAAAAAATCCAAGTGAAACTGAATATTCATTTTGACAATAAAACGATTTTTGACGGGTTCATTTCGACGTAAGATAATAACGTAAATTACGAAGGTAAATACACTACCTATATTGCATATTGAATATTTTTGTCATCATGCATGGTTGAGTTCTGATATTTTGAAAAATAGTTCTCCCATGTTTTGTTTGCTGAAAAACATTGACTTCTCCCCCAAATAATGACTTTATTTTTTTAATGAAAGTTAGGCTGCATGTGGACGGATTATGTGAGAATAGGTGATAAATAAATTGTTAAGACGAACAATTTTGCTTCAGTAATCTATAACAAAATGTTGATCATTAAAGATTATAGATTAAAGACGTTCGGCCCGTCTTGGTCCCTATTTTGAGGGGCCAGTCCTATTTTCTTGCTATCTTCTTACAGCTCTCATGATTTTGAACACTTTTTGTTCAACAACTATTCTACTTTTTTTTTTCGTTTCCGAAATATCTGCAAAAGAAATAATAGGGGCCGGCCCTTCAACTCCTTAATGGGAACGTTCAGCAAAAATTGAAAGGTAACATATTGTTCAGAACGTTATTGTGAACATCTTTTATTCAATATTGCTAATCAAGATATTTCCCACTTTCGAGATATAAAGCGTCAAAGATTTAGCATTCTGGCCCCTTATGTCCCTTTTTAACGTCAAAGATTTAGCATTCTGGCCCCTATTGTCCCCTTATAACGAAACATATGATGCCAACAACGTTATATAGTTAAGGAGTGTGAAGATGATCTATTCTGCCTTAGTAATGTATTACAAAATATTGATCGTTTAAAAGTTATTGATGAAAGATTTTCGGCCCCTATCAGCCCTTATTTTGAGGGGCAAGTCCCTTTTCTTGATATCACCTTAAAGCTCTTATGATTTTGAACACTTTTTGTTCAACAACTATTCAGAAATTCTTTTTCGTTTCCGATATATGTGCAAAAGAAATATTTAGGGGCCGGCCCTTCAACTCCTTAATGGGGACGTTTAGCAAAAATTGAAAGTTTACATATTGTTCAGAACATTATTGTGAACATCTTTTATTCAATATTGCTTAGCAAAATATTTCCCACTTTCTAGATATAAAGCGTCAAAGATTTAGTATTTCTGCCCCTCATGACCCCTAATTATGTAACATGTGATTTGAATAACATAATATATAGTTGTAGTTTGCTCAGATAAACGTTTTTGCTGCAGTAATATTTTACAAAATATTGATCGTTAAAGAGTTATTGATGAAAGACTTTCGGCCCCTCTTGGCCCCGATTTTGAGGGGCCAGCCCCTTTTTCTTGATTTCACCTTAAAGCTCTTATGATTTTGAACACATTTTGTTCAACAACTATTCAGAAATTCTTTTTCATTACTGAGATATATGCAAAAGAAATATTTAGGGGCCGGCCCTTCAACTCCTTAATGGGGACGTTTAGCAAATATTGAAAGGTTGCATATTGTTTAGAACATTATTTTAAGCATCTTTTGTTCAATATTGCTGATCAAAATATTTCCCACTTTCGAGATATAAAGCGTCAAAGATTTAGCATTCTGGCCCCTTATGGCCCTTAATTATGTAACATATGAGATTTTTATTATAATATATAGTTGTAGATTGTTCAGACAAACGTTTTTGCTTCAGTAATGTATAACAAAATATTGATCGTTAAAGAGTTATTGATGAAAGACTTTTTGCCCCTTTTGGCCCCGATTTTGAGGGGCCAGCCCCTTTTTCTTGATTTCACCTTAAAGCTCTTATGATTTTGAACACATTTTGTTCAACAACTATTCAGAAATTCTTTTTCGTTTCTGAGATATATGCAAAAGAAATATTTAGGGGCCGGCCCTTCAACTCCTTAATGGGGACGTTTAGCAAATATTGAAAGGTTGCATATTGTTTAGAACATTATTTTGAACATCTTTTGTTCAATATTGCTTATCAAAATATTTCCCACTTTCGAGATATAAAGCGTCAAAGATTTAGCATTCTGGCCCCTTATGGCCCTTAATTATGTAACATATGAGATTTTTATTATAATATATAGTTGTAGATTGTTCAGATAAACGTTTTTGCTTCAGTAATGTATAACAAAATATTGATCGTTAAAGAGTTATGGATTTAAGACTTTTTGCCCCTTTTGGCCCCTAATGTGATGAGTCAGCCCTTTTTTCTTGATATCATATAAAAGATCTAGTAATTCTACACAATTTCTGTTCAATGTGTTTTAAGAAAATATTCATGGTTTTGAAGATATGATAAAAAATGTCTCGAAAATTCACTCCTGATTCATGTCCTAAATTTTGACCCCTACCGAGCTTCCATACTAGGCACTTCCAGAAAATTTGAAAACTGAGGTGCACAACTAGAACATGTCCTCTATTAACACTAAAAATTTCAGCACTCTAGCTTTTGTCGTTTTTGAGTTTTTGTGTAGACAAAATGGTCACTAAAAATTCGATTAAAGGGCGATAACTTCCGACCGGAAGTGAATTTCCAAAAAATAAAAAAAATGAATAAGGCTTAGATCATGATACATCATCTCTGAAAATTTCAAGTGAATCCATCCAACCATCTCTGAGAAATCGTCTGCACAAAATTTGGACAGAAAAAAATAATAATAACTAGATGAGATCTCGTTGCGAGCAACGAGTGGGTCTTCCGTCCGATTTTTGATAAGATGAGATAAGAATTTGACTGAGATTTTCATTCAAATATAATGATATAAATAAATTGCTTAGTAATGTTTAACAAAATATTGATCATTAAAGAGTTATGAATTAAAGACTTTCGGCCCTTCTTGGTCCCTAATGTGAGAGGTCAG